GCCCGACCGGCGTGCTCCTGAGCTCAGGGCGGCGGGGGCTGTGCTCGGCCCGAGACGGGGCGGCCCGGCCGCTTCCGCCGTGGAGAGAAGGTTCCTGTGGTCATGCGGGGCCGCGCCCGCGCGACCCCGTGTGTTTGTAGCGTCCTGAGGCGCTCGCAGCGCCCTGCCTCAGTGCCGCTGGCTTTCTCCGCACTCGTCTCCGTGTGAGACCTGGCTGCTCCACGGGCCGGGCAGGGCCCGTGGCTGGAGCCCTGAGCTGCCTCGGGGACTTGCTGTTGTCACTCCGTGACGTGCACCTCACCTGTAAGAGCCACCTCGTGCCCGCACGTAATACAGTGGCTCTCCACCCTTTGCACCTCAAGGTGCCCCTTGGAAAGCACGGCCTCAGCTTTCTCTGTTCTTTGCCTGCAAAAAAGCAGTAGAGCAGCTTTCTGCTGCAAAGAAAGGAAAAGCTACAGCTGTGGATTTCTGGTGGAAGTCACTGGCTTTTTTTCTGTGTTTTAAACCTACCCGTGCTAATGTGTGGTACACATGGAAGGATTTCAACACACCCCAGGATGCTGCTGCACTCTGGATGAGTATAGCTGACCTAATAGAAACATCAGAATGTGGGATTGGAGGGGATCTCCTGGGTCAGGTCCATGCCCCTTCCATTGTAGGCACCACACAGTGCAACCAGATGACTTCAGAAATGTAACCCTTTCAAAATACCAAGTCAGTATTAAAAGCAGTTGGGCTTTTTGCTCTCACTTTTCCAACCGGAAGTACAGAATCTAATTGCACTAATGATTAGGAACCTTCTAATTCCAACCTAAATCTATTCATGACACATTCGCTGTGTAGCAATATTGTCCTTTAAAAATGTCAATCTCCTGATGTGTTTATAGACAGAAATTTCTCTCAGCATATTTTTTGTTTAGATAATAAAGCTAAGTGTTTCTAGGCTGGTCTTGTAAGATAGACTTTCCATTCTTCTGGTCATCCTAGTAGCCCTTCTAACCTGTTTCAATTTCAGTTCATCTTTCTTGAACATGCTTCAGAAGTGTACACAGTACTGCAGATGAGGCTTTACAACAGCACTATTACTTCCCTATCTCTAGTGGAAATACTTTTCTTGATGCATTCTGGAATAACATTTTCTTTTTTCAGCTCTGCCTTTCACTGACATCTCACCATCACCCTGTGTTCAACTATTTCATTCAGGTTTTTCTCATTTGTTTCTAACTCAAGCTTCCAAATTGTAGCCAATGATTTTGCTTTTAGTCCATCTGCATTAATTTGTGTTGGGTGCCATTAAATTTCAGGTCAGTTTTATTATTCCAGTCCTCGAGGTCATCCAGTTCTTTATGCATGCTATCCCAATCCTCTTTAGTAATTCCAAGTTTGTTTTATCAGCAAATGCTATTGCACTCTCATAATCCTTTTGCAAAGGTCACTAATGAAAATGTTAAACAAGATTGGTCCCAAGACGGATCCCTGAGGGACCCCAGAACTAAACTCTCTAATCTGATAATTCTCCTTTCATTACTCCTTTTTGCTCTTTCCCCCAGTCTAATCCATCTCGTTCCAATCTTCGCCAGTTTAATTTAGCTTCTGTGTGGCATAATATTGAGTTAGGCATGGACTGCCTTTACTAAAGCCATTCGTATGGTACCTTGTTCTCATCTCTGTTTAATTATCCTTTCCTTCAGTATCTGTTCTAAAGCCTTGAATAATGTTGAGGTGTAACAGACCTATAGTTGCTCAGAATACTGCCCCCCCCTCCCACTTCTTAAATATAGGCACTGCATTTGCCATTTCCAATTATATAGTATTAGCCTTGACTTGAAAATGTGTTAAAAATCATCATGACCAGAACTACAGTTTCACATACCAGTTCTTTCAGTCTTCTGTGGTAGAGATTATCTGGTACTCCTGAACTGAAACTGTCTGAGTTTTGATTCCACTTTCATTGTAGTAATTTTTATCCCCTACCCTCATTCCATTATCCATCTTGCTGTTGCCCCAGTGGTCCACCACAACATCTTTATTAAAAAATTGAAGTGTAGTCATTCAGTTTGGGGCCATACTTTTTTTTTTTAGTCTCTCCACCACCCTCAGAGCAAAGTGGCCCTATTTTTTTCTTTCCTTCTCATTCACATGGTTGAAAATTCTTTTGCTGTTTAATATCCTTCAGAAGGTCTAACTCACCTTGACTTCTAACAATTTTCACTTTATCCCTATACTTTTTTGACTTCTAAAACATTCTAAGATGACTTTTTATGGTGAGCATTCCTTTTTCATTTCTAATATTCTTATACCTGTACCCTTCATAAGGAAATTATGCATCCCATTAGATCTGGAACTGTTTTCTGCAAGATTTTTTTCCATTGCTTGGGCTATAGATTCTTGATAGTTTTGGTACCTTGATTTTGAAGAAATTACGGGCACTTTCCACATCAAAGTCCAATGAGCATATCAAGTCAGCCGACTTGATCAGGCATCATTGGTACTCTCTCCAGGCTCTTGAGATGGCAACACTAGGTTACCCACATTTCGCATCCGTAGAGGAGCGTGGAGATGATAACTGCATTGTAGACCTGGATCCTGAAGGCACTTGTACACTGGATCCTGTGCCGCATTTCCTCATCAATGTTCATTCTGTGAGAGAGATCGCTACCAATGTAGAGGAAGTGCTCAGTTACCTCCAGGGGTTACTCCCTTGATGGGGAGGAGGATCAAAGCAATGCCCTGGGGCAGACCAATAGAGCACTTCACTCTTCCTGATGTTAAGAGGCAGACCCAAAGTTCAGTAGGTTTCTCCAAAAAGATCCAGCGCAGTTTGGAAGTTTTCCTCAATATGTGCTAAGATGGTGAAGTTGTCGGCATATTGAAGTTCAAGGATGGTTGTTTTGAATACTTTAATCTTTGAGCAAAAACATCTCAGGTTGAAACGCCTTCCATTTGTTTGGTATTCCATGTCCATTTGGGAAGGAAAGGGGTCCTGAATGAGAACCAGGATGACTGCCAAACAATGGAGAACAGAGCTGGCCCGATGGTGCATCCTTGCTGATGCAAGTTAAGGTGACAAATGGATCTGTCTCTGATCTACTACAAAGAATGGCTGCAGCCATCTATCTGGCCATAGAAAAGCCTCAGGACCTTAATGTACTTTTCCGGTTTAGCAATCTGAAAAGTATCCAGATCTGGCCAGTATTTAGAATCAGAGAAGTAGGGCTGGAAGAAACCTCTAGAGGTCATCTAGTCCAACCCCCTGCCTGAAGGGGGTTGGACTAGATGGGGGTTATCCTATACAATCTATAATCTAAACTGTATGTAAGACTACTGTAACATAACACAGACCTAACTCCCTAACCTGCCATAGATAAAGCAGGGGAACCACACAACTTCACAATTGATGAAATCAAAAGGTCTTAACGTCACTGAAGGCCATACACATGTCCTAATGTTCCCAACACTGTTCTTGGACCTGGTGGGTAACAAAGGTCATATAATTTGTTCCACAGGGTGGTCTGACTGAGATTCTGGCATGACTTCCTCAGCAAGAGGTAAAAGATGGTTCAGAAAGATGCAGGAGAGGATTTTTCCTGATGTGGAAATGAGGGCAATACCTCAATAGTTCCCACACAGACTTATCTCTTTTCTTGATGATAGTTGGCATTCCTCAGACTAGGGGTGTCAAAGAGTCAGCCTGCAGACCCATATCATGTGGCCTTCAGGGCTTCAGAATTCATGGTGGGGCAAGTAGCAGCAGCATTAATTGCATGGCTTTGGGAGCCATGGCAACTACTGTTCATCTCACCGCCAAATTTCCAAACTGTTGGCCAGATCTGGACCATGGAGCTCTTTGTAACGGGGCCTTCTCAGGGCCGATCTCACTGTGGCCCACCCACCTGTTTCTGGGCTAACCACCTTCCT